TAACCAACTCCAGCAGCTTGAGGAAGCTGCGTGCTGCATCAGACAAATTTACAAAAACAGGTTCAGCAAACCCACGAAGAAGAAAACCGTAAAGAAAAGAACAATCAATGATTCTTACGCGATCGGAGAGGAGATGGTGAAGTAATTGAGTCGATTTGAGCCGTAATGAATCGGCATTTGTCTGCCTTTGCCGTAATCAGCTTTGTTCCCAAAGCACTGATTCGCAAACTCCTCCAACGTGAAGCCACGCCATAGAAGCACTCCAGGCTCTCGGTACTGTCAACAAAAACCGAATGTCCCGGTTAAATCAAACCGGAACCAAAGGTGATAGATAAAGGACGACGCGATTATAACCTGAGGTAAAACGACGTCGTCAGAGCTGAGAGCGGCGGCGGAAGCGATGTTAATGGCTTCTTCTCCTACAGAAGTAAGGTAGAAGGAGATTCTTCCTTGACGCTGAGCTTCGTAGAAGATGTGGTCCATCACCTGAAGCGTCGCCATTTGTTCGTACATTCTAACGGCGAGTGTCTCGCTCACCTTTTCGAATTCAGTTCAGCAAAATAAAAATCGGTTAATACTAAACCAAACTATATACCAGTTCATATTACATTCCCAAATTTCTGTACCGGAATAAAGTCGCTATCGGGAATGATTTTTCCGTCTTCGTCAAGAACCCTGTAGCACGGAATCCTCCGAGAAGTAGAACCCGGTATAAATTTCATCTCGGATGTGTAACCGACTTTGCCTCCCGGAAAATTCAATTCCTAGAATATTAAATACGGTTTAGGTAAGCATTCGGTAATAATATGATACTAGGACACTCATTGTCTAAATATCCAAAAAAACTACTGGGACATAGGTAAGAAAGTTCATTGCAAACTGGGGTCATAATGCAAACTAGTGTCCGAACGGTTTTTGGAAGATAGAGACGGCTGTGTTAAGAATGAGACGTACACGTACTCAAATCAAAGAACCCAAAGTGGGACCCGCACTGCACTAAATCATAGGTGTGACTTGTGGTCCCCATTTTTTCTCATGCGATGGTGTCCCCACTTTTTTTTGAACTAGTGTACTTGTGTGCGCGTGTGAGCTGTTGAAACTTTGTATTGTAAAACTGTAGAGTATGAATCTTTTTTATCCCGTACCGGATCAAACCGACCCCAAATAAAACGGAGAAAATTGATTATTGTTGACGTACTTTGAGATGAGTAAACAATAAATTTTGATTCAAAATTAGAAACAGTTAATTTTTGTTAAAAGAAATAAACAAATGAGAAACAGTTTCACCTAGATTTGGTTTGAATTTAGTTTTTGTATCGTGTGAACCAAGAAATCGTCAAAAAGTTGAAATGATGGAATACGTAATCAAATCAAAGCCGGATTAGACGTCACTAAACCGAAAACTAATTCTACTAAACTCGAAAAACTAACAAATCTCCTTGGAAGAACTAATTAATTCCTTGATAAATTGATTCTTACAATTGAAACTATCGTACTCACCCCCTACTTTCTTTTCATGAACTAATCCAAATTCTTAATTAAGTATGTATAACCACGTGAAAACCAGTATATAAAATATTATAATTAACCAAATAAAATATAGACCTGGGCATCTTCCTCGTCACTCTGTTGAACCAATTCTGGCTGTTTCTCTACTGCCGTAGACTCGTGACGGAGGCTCGTTACTGGACTCAAAAACACCGTCGACGATAACTGAGAATTTGTAAAGACGACGGGACGAGGAGAGTAATCACGTTTGACGAAAATCGCCGACAATCCCAGATTATGTCTCATGGTAGAAACGAGGTTTCTTGATCTAGCAAACCAGATCGCCATGTATGCAAAAAAAAGGACAAGAAGAATAGGAGAAGAAAATGGTTGAAGAAGATTTAAGGAAGAAGAAAGAAGAAAGAAGTTGTTTTTAACGATGTATATGGGCAGAGGATTAGAAGAACGACAAGTGCATGTATTTCCTTGTCGGACTTGACATGTCATTCGTAGCTATCTCCAACTCTCTTTTTTTTTCTTTTTTTTTTTCTTTTGTCACTAAAATAAATGTCTACAAATTTATTATCTTCCTCACTTTTTGGGGTTTTTAGTTTCTTCACCAATTATAGTGGACAAATACTAACGATAAGACAAATGAATCATTTTGAGAGAAGTTGCATTATATACATACAGATACAGTACATAGCAAATCATTTAAAGATTTTCCAACAACCAAACCTAACTGTACTGTGTGCTTTTTAATTGCGTTTGATCTTTTAATCCAACTATACAAATTTGTACTGTCACCTACTTGCGTGTCATTTGTACTGTCTGTCTTTGGATTTGTCATGACGTCCGTGAACTAAACACCTTTTTTTTTTTTAAAAAAGAAGATTTATATCGATATCGACACCACGTGAAAATATTACCATTTCTAGATTAGTTGAAGGTTACACGCCAATCACCTCAAACGATTTGATGTATTTTAATCTTGTGAAGAATTTATATTTTCTCAAATTAAGAATCATTGATGGGTGACATCAAACCTAACCAATAAAGTTTTCTTGGACCTAACTTAGATATATGGTTTGGCCTAAACTAGCCCCATCAGTAATATAGAGACCTAAACTTACATACTAAATCAAATTTGTGTGCTTCGTATGTTAAATCGTGGGGGAAAGAGTTAACCGATTTCGGATTCTTGTTGGTTTTTACTTTTGAGAATGCATATGCAAACTGGTTGTTGTGTAATGCTTTCCTTAGAGCTTCCTGGATTTTTTTTTTTTTTTTTTGACGAGCAGATCATTCACCATCTCAGTGTAATGCATGCGCTATAGAGACAATATGTTTGGTGAAAGATTTTACCTTTAACTTTATGATCTATAGCCAATTAGACAAATGTAAGATGGATGAAATGGCTTCATCAAATTACCCAAAGCATGTAAAGGGCTCCTTTACTTGTAAACATGTGACATTTCCATTTCTTTGTAGGGTGCTCTCACTCGGCTACAATGATTGCAAGTGGTGTGGTACAAGAGTGATTCTTATGCCAGCATCGTTTATTTTGGTTGAACAAACCAATTGCTTCATTTCTATGCTCATATGTAGCAAACTCTCTAAGCATCCCGTTCCATGGCATTACCATTACATATCTAATTGTACCATCATGTCAAACACTTCTTCAATGAAATTCAATGATCCATACTTGATCTGAGTCAAGACTGATGACACAAGTCAGTCCAATTGCCTTCTCACCGAGTCGGAGGAAAGAAATAGTTGCACATGCACGAAAAAAATGCTTGCACATGCACTAAGACGTTGGAGAATATTAAAAGTTTATATCCAGCTAAAATGGGAAAAAACAAATGTCCTAAATAACTTAAAAAAACCGAGAATTCGAGACCTAAACTCACCCGGGAAAAAAAAATCAAAGTGTTTTAACCAATCTTTAATATTACAGATTAAATTTAGAATCTAGTTAATGTGAAATATTGGTTCACCGTTTAAGTACACGAGAGTGTTTGAAACTTTGGATTCACGATCTTACTAAAAAGATGACATGACAATATTGGATATAAGAAAGCATAGAGAAGTCTCCATCCATCTATCATAAGATAAAAAATCATATTTGGTTGTTATTTCTGTTCACTGGAGTCCACGGTCTCGAATGCAACAGATGTAGTCTTCCACATTCTCTAAGCATTGAGACACTCTGCGACAGTGGAAGTGTCTAAACAGTGCTCGTGGTAGTGTGGCACTCCCATTGGCACTCTTTATCCGACGTTGCTTCACCTTCCATCGTAATAAGTAACCCGATGAGTAGCATCGTGATCCACACCATACTAATATTTCTCCTCATTTTTTGGTTTCCTTAGCTTTATATTAATAATTGATTAAGATGCTTATATAAAAGGGAAATAGTTGACGCATGTAGAGATCTTACAATTTTTTGGACTTTGATACGTACCAAATTTGTAAGTTACCTTTTTCATATATTAATTAAAATATTTGTTATTTAGACAAATTAAAACTTCAAAATGGCTTTTACCGGGAAAACCCCTCTCAAAAGTTGCATGAGTTATAAAGCATTAACTATTCATTTTTCAACCCTAGATATGTAACGAATTTTGTTTTTTGGCAACATATATGTAAACTATATAAGAGATTCGTTTGAGATTTGTAAGGAATAAACTAATGAATGAACCACGCATTTGATCTTTGGCTTTATACTAGCTACGCTTAATCAAGTATGCTTTTAACAAACATTAAAAGACTAAACATTATAAAAGCCAACGCTCCTAAAAAACAGAAATATCCACAATTGTATATACTGTACTACTTACTTATCTTTTTTGTGTGTGTGCTCCATACTCATTACTTATCTTACTTTCTAACTTTAACACTGTTTCACATTTTAGATTATGCCATCGTAAATCACTTTTGTAAACGCTTAGACCTCAATCAATTCAAAAATTAATGTTATACTTTGTATGTTCGTGTAAAAGAAAGTAATATTCCAAAAAGCACAGTAGGTGATGTTTTGTAACTATGTTAATTTTTTTAGATGTTTCACAGATATTAAAAAAACAATGATTATTTACTTTTTAAAGTATTTTTTGTTTGTTTATTAATTTAATACTAATTTTTGTATTTTTTTATCTTAAATACTGTTTTAAAAAAAGAAATATATTAAATTTAATATAGAAAATCAATCTTTTGGAAACAAAAATAAATTTCAAAACATCAAACTTTTGGGAAGAGATGGAGTATCTTTTAAATTGTGACAATTGAGATCAATTGAGCTATATAAATAATATATTTTCCTTATTTTGCTTGCTTAGTTTTTTAAAGTTCTTATGGTGCTAAATTTTATACATTTCACATTAACAAAAAGTCAAAACTATATCATATGGGTATGGCCATCGTAGACTTTTTTTTTTAGGAGGATAATCTAGAAGGCATGACTTTTATAAATCCTAATCCCTTAAGCTTTCCTGAAATCCCGTTACGATCTGCAAATCATATTAAACCCCAGTTAACAGCAACACCTTCCCTAAATTAATACTAACCTAACCACTCTGAGAATTACGTGACATTCAAATTAAAGCCCAAAATCTTTTTAAAGTTTATTTCTCTCAAAATAAATCAAAACCAATTTATATATTCCAGTATATGCTACAGATGCCATGAACGGGTCAAGCAAGATATCCTTTTTTTGTGTGTGTGTGTAAAACATCTAAATACTACTAATGACTTGTTGAGTTGTTTCTGAGCAAAAACTCACTTATAACACATTTGTACGAATCTTCTCTCTCTCTCGTTCTTGCGAAATTGCGATGTTAGATCCTTCGGCTAAATCCTACGATGCTCATCTGTGTTTTCCCAGTATTCCCAATGATCACTCAGATTCCGGCGTCTGTTCGCCTACCCTGTGGAGAACCAGCCCTCCGAAGAGTCCTCGTCACCGGCCGGAAGATTACTGGAGCCTTTCGCCGGATTCGAAGGCTCAGGCTATCGCTCGCGGCCAGCGAGAGCTTATGGAAATGGTTAGTAAGATGCCCGAGTCGTGTTACGAGCTCTCCATGAAGGATCTTGTCGAGTTAAAGGGGAACGAAGAGAACGAAAGGAAGGTGTTCGATGAATTGCCCAAGAGAACGATTAGGCTGAGCAAGGCTGTGAGGAAGGCGAAGAGCGATAAATGGGTTGATTCTAATCGAAACAGTGGCGTGAACAACGGTGGGTTTCTTCTCAAAATGATGTTTCCTGTTAGCTTCGGATCTAAGAAAGAGAGGATGAAGAAGAACAAGAAGGTGGATTCCTCTGTGACGACGGTTAAAGATTCCCAGGTTTCACCGAGGCCTTCGATCTCCGACGAGTCGGTGAAATCGGAGGATAAAGAATGGTGGAATAGATTGTCTGAGTCGAGAGGAAGCGCGAGCACGAAGAGGAGCGGAAGTAGCAATAGCAACAGCAGTAATAGGAGCCGAAGCAGCCTAAGGTATCTTTCACATTCACGTACGCAATGCTACTTGTATTTGCTCTGCTAATCATATTTGATGAAAATTCCTAATTTGCTCTGCTAAGTATCCATCGACCTATTACAATTAATATCAGTTCACTGGATTTGCTTTTTGTCAAAACTCTTATCATCTTAAACATCTTGATGATTATCTTCCTCGAGAATTAATACTCCCGTGTCTGTACTGTACTGGTATATGGTATGTGCGAGCTGTATAATAAAAATCTCTGTTTGCCAAGAAAAGTTAAAAGGAAAACATGTGAAGTGTTGTTGGTGTTTGTATGGAAATTTTGTTGTCTAGTTTGAAGACTTCCCCATTAAATGTATGGAAACTCTGTAGATTATATTTTAGCAAAAACACTCTGTAGATCACAAACTTCTAAGACTTGGTAATGTTAAGATTTAGGACTGTCTGAATGATTCATACTGCATAACTCAAATCTCATTGGCGTTTGATCAAATGCAGGGACAGAAACAGTAGCTGCTTCTCTTTCCTCTGGAGTGTACATTCACGAGACTGAAACAGAGCTTTTCCTCAAATGTCTAGTGGCCTATTTTTAGCCATTCTTGGCTATAAATCTTCCGAGGAATGGTTCCAAGAACAGAGGAGGCGAGACCGGAGAGATGAAAACCGTTGAATGTGCCACAAAGATGACAACTTTTCTGATGATACTCCTAAATTTTGCTTTTGTAACCCTGTGTATCGTTTTGGATACGGTTTAAATAATGTAAATAGTCTCTCAATTGTGGGTTTTTGAATCCTAATGTAAAGCTTGTAGCTTAACTTTATTTTAGGATCTACTCGATTATTGTATTAAAAGCCTGAAACTAATAAATCTACATCATCTCTGCCTTAAAAGGAGAGTACTTTTCTGTTCAAAGAGAAAGCTGATGTGGAAAATTTGGTACTCGTGTTGGTCCCCAATCTAGACTTGTGTAAGAATTTTGGTTCTGTTCTAGTGTTCTGGTCCAAACGCGTTTTGGTACAGCGTTTGGATTCGCGGTTCCCAGAAGAAAAGTCAACAATGAAATCAATTAGGCATTTAGAAATTAGGAAATTTTGGAGTATTAGTTGCTAATGATCATTACTTTCGACCTAAACTTTATCATATTTTACGAATGAAGAAAGGAATAATCAAGATTCTTTACTTTTCTCCGTCACCGACTGTTACTTTAGCGTAGTGAGACAAAAGCCAAAACACAAAGAAGTCGCAGTTGATTTATGGACGGCTAAGGCTGATGATGATGACCTGATTCAAATCATACAAAGCACCGATCGTCTTCTAATACAAACTTTTTAGATTTTTTGTTCCGAGGATTCGTTTTGTTTCCCGATCGCGAGACGCACAAATCCTTAGCTGGGTCTCTCTCGCCTGTTCTCAAGTCTAGAGTCTATAGAGACAGGTAAATTCTGTTATGTTTGGTGCTGATTCGGTTCTCTTCCTTGTTCTACAGATGTAAACCCATTATGGGTTTTATTTGAAAATCTTGGATTCATACTAGCTCAATTGTTGTTACCTTGATTTCCAGTTTGTTGGATTTGGTAATTTGCTGGCTTAATCTGTCATGGGTATTCGTTAAAAGAAGGCGATTTTCGATTTCCTTCACTTAGATTTCGTTGGGATTGGTTTTTGTTTTACAATTGATGCTCCTGGCTTCGTGATCTGGTCTAATTACAAGCTGGTTTGTGAATTGTGATATAAGAAGTTGTTTGTTTTTAACAGTCTTGATCCCAGTGATGTGATACAGTGTTTGAGCTTTATTTTTTCTTAGACTTGCTTATATATAATTGTCTTTATACTTAAGAGGAAGCTTGAAGCTTTTTAGGGTTTGATTGAAGAAAGAAGCGAACTCGCAATGGCTAATAACGCGGCTGCTTGTGCTGAGAGGGCTACAAATGATATGCTGATTGGTCCAGATTGGGCTATCAACATTGAACTGTGTGACATTATCAACATGGATCCTAGGTAACGTCTTTTGATGTGTTTTTTACTCTCAGAACAACGTTGAAGTTCTTCAGCATTGTATGTTAAGTTACTGATATCTGATTGAGTTTAGCAGAGGATACTTAAAGCTTTGAGCTTTTTTTTTTTGTTTCTGTAGTCAAACAAAAGAAGCAGTGAAGGTGCTCAAGAAACGGTTAGGAAGTAAAAATTCTAAAGTGCAGATTCTTGCTCTTTATGTAAGTGCTTTGTTTTACTTATTCATGGATAGATAATGCATTGGTTTGGCTCTGTTTAGTATTCTGATCTTCTCGTTCATGAATGCTCGTGGGATTTTGGTTCAGGCATTGGAAACTCTGAGTAAGAATTGTGGCGAGAGCGTGTACCAGCTTATCGTGGACCGTGATATTTTGCCTGATATGGTCAAAATTGTGAAGAAAAAGGTTTTTTAGTTACCATCATCTTTCACATGCTTGTTATACTTTCATTTATATTATCAGTTTCGCTTACCATGGAGATTTTGCCAAACTCACTTATGCAGCCAGACCTGAGTGTAAGGGAGAGGATACTTAGTTTATTAGATACATGGCAAGAAGCTTTTGGTGGAAGCGGAGGAAGATTCCCTCAGTATTACAATGCTTATAACGAACTCAGGGTAATAGCTTGAGCCTTTTTATGTATAGTACAATTCTATTATTACGTTTCAAAGTTTTGATAACCGGTTTTTGTCTTTTTGAAAACTTTAGTCTGCTGGAGTTGAGTTCCCACCTCGAACCGAGAGCAGTGTACCGTTCTTTACTCCACCTCAGACTCAGCCCATTGTTGCTCACGCCGTTGCATCAGATGAAGATGCTGCTATTCAGGCCTCTTTGCAAAGTGATGATGCTTCTGCACTCAGGTACACTCTCCTTTGTAGAACTTCGTATTTAACGTTTTCTTCCCTATATAATGATTTTGTTTGCTAGACCTGTCTTATGGATAAGTATGTATGCCTCCTTCTCAAGCATGTTTTAGACTTTAGTATCTTCGGTTTTTTTTTAGTGTGGAAGAGATTCAAAGCGCTCAGGGATCAGTTGATATTTTGACGGACATGCTTGGTGCTCTTGATCCAAGCCATTCTGAGGTAGGCTATACTTATATGATTAGATTTTGTGGCTCTGTCGTTTGATCTGATTTGAGACACTCACTGTTCTTGATGCTGTGACAGGGTTTAAAAGAAGAACTTATAGTTGACTTGGTAGAGCAATGCCGTACTTATCAAAGACGTGTAATGACTCTGGTCAACACTACATCGTAAGGATTCGTTTGTTTTCTCCTTAACCATCCTGTTCTTTGCTCAAATTTGATAGACACTGTTAATGGTGAGAGAGAGAATCCGTCTTTTTTGCAGAGATGAAGGACTTCTGTTTCAAGGATTGGCATTAAACGACAATCTGCAGCGTGTTCTTCAGCACCATGATGATAAGGCAAAGGGAAACTCTGTACCTGCAACAGCTCCCACTCCAATACCGCTTGTTAGCATCAACCATGACGACGATGATGAGTCAGATGATGATTTTGCTCAGCTAGCTCACAGGTAAATACCCCATTCCTTGCACATTCCTTTTGAATCCCAAGACTTGGATTGCTACAGCCCATCGAACTAATCTCTGCAGGTCGAAAAGAGAGAGCGCACGAGGGAGTGGACAAGGGAGTTTCAACCCTATTCTTCCTCCCCCACCACCTACAATGAGGCCAGTACATGTTGAGTCTGGTGCTATGGACTTCCTCAGTGGTGATGTCTACAAACCTCAAGGAGCCTCAGAGAGTGTAAAGCCTCCGAGTAGTTCCCATTCATCAGATCTAGACTCTTCTGCCCCTGTTTTCGATGATCCAGTTCCCCGGAGCAAGTCCCCTGAGCAAGCTTCATTCACCAGACCAGTTTATGACCAATCTGAGAAATTGCCTCCTGCTCCATGGGATCCTGAAGGAACCAGGGTTTTCCCACCACCAATGTCTGCTAGAACCAAGCGGAGCCAAGATTACTTCAAGCCTAATACTGTTCCTCAACACTCAAGCAGTGGCTCTGATTCCTCTTACGAGGATCTCCTGGGACAATCCCGGAATCTCTCTCTCAATCCAACCTCCTCTGCTGCTACACCACCGAAGAAAGATGACAAACCAGAGGATATCCTTTTCAAAGACCTCGTTGACTTTGCAAAGACCAGGAAGTCATCGTCTTCTTCCTCCAAACCAAACAATCAGAACAACAAACCGTTTTGAGAGACAGAGCTGCCAGTTGTTGTGACAACTACTCCTTTACCATTCTTTTTTACTTCCTTCACTTGTGTTCTTGTTTTCTTTGATTGAACATGGATGATGAAAGTCGTGTTTATTTTTCTTTATCAAATAAAAAAGTTAATATTTAGAGATATTTTCACTAGATCGAAATATCAATAATGTATATACCAGGTGAATCGCATTTAATACAGTTTATATAAATTCTCAGTCTGCGGAATACAAAGATTCTGAAGTTTCTCTTTTGCTTCTAAAACTTTGATGAAAGTAACCAAAAAAAAACATTAGTTTCTACCAAACTCTTGAATCAAGTATAAGTTTCTTGTAAGCAAGTCTAGTAACGATCTGACACGGATCAGTCCCAAGGGAGAGAGCCAGGGAAAGGAGCTGAACCACAGTACCTGAACAATCCTCCAATTTCAGGGCAACCATTAGGGTAAGGTATAGTCCTGTGGAAAGGGTCACGCTTCAGCTTCTTACGCCAAAGCGAACCAACACATCCGTATGGGTCTTCTTGAAACTGAGCTCTAACCATAGCCTCGCCTTTCAAAGCGTCTTCTTTAGATGTAAGAGAAGCTGGAGTTCCCAAGTAGGAGAATCTTGATTCCGGAAAGCCCATCGCTGAACGATGCAAATGAGCAAATCTCTCCTCTTTAAAATCATAACTCACCACCTGATCCAAGAGCATGAAGGATATATACATTCAATACCACAAAAATGAAACACCTTTCACTTACTTAAACCCGAGAAACTTGGAAAGCAAAAGGCTTTTTACTGTTATGTTCTGTGGGTAAGAGCCTGTGAGCTCTCTGAATCGACAAACGCTAAAGAGAAGATTCTCAAAGCTGTCTCTGGCATGCTCTTCCGTCAATGCCCTCGACCTTACATCGTCCTTGCCTGCCACATTTTCACACCATTTAAGTTAGTAAAGAGCAGAGACAGACAAACATAGCAGACGCAGCTAAAAAGCAATCAGACTCACCGAACCACCCTTTAGACTCAGCGACAGCCCAATAACTCTGAGCTTCACTGCGAGGCCCCGCGTCTTTACGAGTCTCTCCACCACTGAACAGAAGCAGAGACCCATCATCTTTAGCTGCAGCTTCAACACCTTCTTGTATATGGCTCAAGAACGTCGCAGCCTGACCTGGATGCTTCTGATAAGACTCCAAGAACCACGAATCCTCCTTATCGAGTTTACCGCAGTTGCTGCTCGTGTAAACAGAATGTCCAGCCACCATCACGAGGTTCCTCAGGTTCGCAAATGGGTAAACATCGTTATCCAGATCGGTCTTCTTATAACCGACGACCGTTGGTCGAACATGGCTCTCGTATATCGACGACGTAAATATAAGAACCGTGATCCCGAGCGAGAGGAGGAGGACGACGAAAACGAGGATCGGGTGCAGCTTGAAGAAGTGGTGAAGACGATTCCCGAGAGATTTGATCATTCTCGCAAACGAATTCCTCGGCTTTCTCGATTTTCTAACCGCAGCTCCTGATTCTAAATCGAAATCACCACCACCTCTTGAGTACGCGTGATATGCTTTATTGGGGTTACTCGACCCAAATGGATATTTATTCATGCTCGAGACCACCAATGAGGGAGATTAAGCATTACCCAGATCAGATTTTGAGAGAGATTATCACGCGTGATCATCAAAAATTTCCTCAGTGGGGATTACCAGAGAAAGACGCAGACTTTTGATCGAGCTCAGATCATTGATCTTAGAAGATAAATCTCGACAAACATTAAAAGACAAATCGAACACAAAACCCAGGTGAAAATTTTCCAGAATCGAGACAGAGAAAATAACGGAAAGCAAGAAAACAGAACTCACGAGATTAATTTCAGTTTCCGGTGAATTACCAGATTTTGCATCAAATCCGTTGACCGAGAGAGTGTGGTTGGTATTTATTATTTCGTCGGTGAAGGTCGACGATTTTAAGACAATTTAGCGATTTGAACTTTGGTACTAATAAGAAACTTCGGGAAAGATGCTGTCAACGTGAGCGAGGAAGGAGTAGCTGATGGCTGAGCAGCTTCGAGAACGCTTTAAGCCCAGATCCATATCTTGGTCCATGTTAATGTAATGGGTCTTTAACTACATGGTTCTTTCTTTGTCATCATTTTACTTAATCCCGATTTGGTGATTTTTCATTGTTTATGAACTCGAAAACATGAAAATTACCAATTCAATTTGTTGGATAATTAACTTTTGTAAAAGCATTTGTGTTTTTTCTACATCTCATGCAAGAATACTTTAGTCGATTACTTTTTGTATTGGTCACAGTTCATGTTGTTTTCAAATTATAATGGAAATGACAGTACGTACAGTGGTCGTGTTTGTTCTGCACTGGCAAAGTAAAAATACGAGATTGTCTGGTTCAACTATTCTAATTGTTCAGTGTTTGTATCCGTTCTGTTGTCACAATTCAATTCTTCAATTGATTTGTTCGAACCTCAGTCTATTTGTATCTTCGAGTAAGAGAATTGCACAGGTGGAATTCTATTTTTGTATAACATTTATGCATGTTTGCTACAATTAATTAATAATAAATAGATAGCTAAATATGAAATAAATTTGTATAAAGTAAATTGTAGATTGGGCTTAACATAATACATAATAGAAAGTTAGAACATAAGCAAGACAAATGATTCCAAACTTTGTAAATAAAATTGAGATAATTTTATCACCACCTCTTTGATTTAGCAAAAAATAAAGTAAAAATTATTATCTCACAAGAAAACTTTTTTTGCTGTTGCTATTGTATTAGAATTTTATTTCTATTTGGATTAGTCCTTTAAAACCTTATAAAGACTACCCTGGTCTATTCATATATATATATATATATATATATATATATATCAGTTTTTGTTTGGTTAGAAATATATATATATATATATATATAACAGTCGAACTTAAAAAGGCAAAATTATTTTAGTTTGGAATTTGGATGACCAAATCAATAAATCTTACAACAACTGGTATACTTTCATTGACACATAGATATATACACATATGTCTTATAATAAAATTTATCCTTTTAACGAACGTTAAATAAATTAGATCACTTGTGAATCCATCTGTTACATCGATCTTGATCTGTTCAATCCGTATTGTTCCTGAAAGAGGAGATGAAGCACCATGCACGGTGATCAATATATAAATCAGCCAAAAAAAAAATTGATAACTTAATAAAGACTTCATCAGTTGTATATACTATATAAGATAAATATATGCTTATGGTAATTACCAGAACTAAGAAAATTTCTTTGAGAATAGGTGTCAACAATGAGCTTAAGGTATCAATGTCTTCTCTAATGGTCTCATAGCTCTCGTCTCTTCCACCGATCGCGTCCATAAAAGTCTTATTGTCAGGCACTAGCTTCAAACACACCTAAATATTACATATTCAACACGATATCAATACATGTAACCTATATATATCTCCAAAATTATTTTAACTTAAATGCTAACGACATACAAAACCACCAAAAAAACTGATGGGATGTAACAAAGAAAATGATGTTTTAAATATGACATAGTTAGAAGGAGAGTGATAATTGTGTATACTTTGAAAGCAGCAGACGCAATCCATCCATGATGAGGTTTTAAAGTCGACATGTAGCATTCTTCTACAAGTTCTTCCATTTTTGACGACATCTCTTTTGACAACAATCGTAATAAACCCGCTGTAAAATCCATTGTCCTATGTGATAGAAGATTGTAAAAAGAGGGTCATAAAGCCTAATTAGTTTGAACCAGACTTAGTAAATACTAGTAGATTAATTATGATTATATATGTGCAATTTGAATAATTAAGAATTTCATAAAGGCATATAACCAAGACATGATAATCACTCATGTGTCTTTCCATATTTGATATAAGTCCCAAGTTTGTATTATAACTAGTAGTAATATAGAGCGGATATGTATAAAGGCCAAAATGTACCTAGTGAGCCAAAGAAGAGCTTTACTACTACTAGCAACCATCTTGGATGTTCCCTCCTTTTGTTCTTTCTTCAGAATCTCAACCAAATTGGAGTAAACACAAGGATCTGTTTCACAAACCTTCTCTAATCTCTACACCACCCATATCAATAAATAAGAAAAACGTAGGTAGAAGATAATTGATGTGCGTAAAAAAGAAGAGGGATACAAGATTAGCCATTTATAGAAAGTCATTTCAGAACTGACTAAAGTTCTCATGAAAGCAACCAAATAAGGGGTTACAAGGCTGAAATTAAATTATCATTGAAGAGATCTTTACCCAAAACAAAAGCACTGAGGAGATATATATGAAAAGATTGGGTGCATGTTCTTATCAGCATAAAAGTTCAACAGTCTTTTTGCATAGATTTATTAATATTATTATAGACCCACCATTCATATACATGCATACGTAATTACGTACACACGATGTTGATGAGTTTAAACCAATAAAGAGGAGATATATAAAAAAGAACAAAACAAAGGGTCTTGTCTTGTCTTTGTATTTTATTTTAAATAATGTCTTGTCTTTGTATCCATGAAGTTACCTGAATATTTTGATCGATGTCTTGTCTGAGAACAGCCATTGTCGGTCCTATCTTATCTGCAAACACCAGAACACAAACAGCTCAGGACAATCATCGAGTTGTGTTCAATATGAACATTAGAGACAATATAGATTCGTTGGTAAATAAAAAATGAAACAATTATTTATTGAAGAATATTTTCCGAGAAAAAAAAAAGTCGAGACCAAGAACTTGGATGATTAAGTTGCAGAAGGAAAGAAGAGGCCTCAAGGGTATATGTGTGATTTCAGTGTTATCTACAGGTTTAGTTACTATGACGAGAGAGAGCTCTTCAATGGCTGTTTGAAGCTCTGTCTTCTTCTTCTCCATCTCGTATCTCTTTCTCTTCATCTCCTCTCTCTTTCCTCTTTCTTCTTACTTTCTCCCTCTCTCTCTTTAATCAAGACATCTGGACACTAGTATACATATATACATATATATATAGTGTAGTACTACAAAACTGCAAAGTACAAAACATCGCTTTGACTTTAAATTATCAAGTTGATGTTGTCTTTTGTATTATAAAGGGACGAATTAAAAATTAAAATAATAGGCATTCAGCATAAATATAATAAAACAAATATTATTCCCCGTTATAATATGATTGAATGTAGTATTATTGTTTTGGGTTAGAAGCGGAGACAAGTTAACTTCAACAGCAAATATCATCATGGTTCATATAAAACTCATTTGTATGGCATGGAAAAAAGTAATCGACTAATTGCTTAGATTCCTTATAATATGATGATGGTGACCCACTTTTTGACCTCCATAGTTTTGTTTACAGCTCAAATCGATCAGATTATTTTAAACCATTATGTTGATTGGATTCAAGCACTCATATAGATTATAGACACACAGCTTAATGTAATTTCCTCTCTCAAGTAAGTCGAACCGATTCCAGAAGTTTAAGTTCACATACGCAACCCACGAAATGGCCCGATTTACAACACGCTTTGTGGATTTTTTATTTTATTTAAAAAACACACAATACATAATTAAATTTTATTCAGCCATTACGTATTTTTTACAACCTTAGTAATAAAAACCTGATGTATAATAACTTAAATGAAGAATGTTTTAGAGTTTTTCCAGATATATTAGATAGACAAATTAAAACTTAACTATAAATGCATCTTTTTGACTTTTTGTAATTAACAAATTTTCTATTATTTTTCATTAATGGAAATTGAATAATTTTAATTATTTTTTTAAGTTTCTAATTCACTATCATTAACTAATAAAAAATGCATTGAAACAGAAAACATTTTTTTGAATTTTTTAGCAAAATCACGCTTATAAAACATATATGTGTGTAAAAATGTATACAAAATCACCACCGTAAAGCATAATGTATAATTGTCTAATTTGTTGAATATTTTATTTTTATATTAATAACTACAGTACCTTGCAATGTTGCTCGACACCAGAGGTTAGGGAAAAAAAAGTTGGCCATGTTGGGTATGAACAATTAAAGTAACAATTGAAATTTGAAAAATACTAATAGTATTTGATTAAATGGGCTTAGGGTTCCGTTTAGATGTGCTGGTTGGTCATAAAGGCATGCAAGGATGAAATAAAAGGAATCTTCTCCCAATTTCTTAATCATTTGGATTGTCAGCTCTTCGTTCATGAACCCAATCATTGGCACTACTATACGAATTTATTATAGTGTGTATATATATATTTTTTTTCTTATAATAATGTAAAGTTTTAATTGAAAAATGTTTTGATCTGAAGCTTTAATGTGCTTCAAAATTAACTTATACACCAAATACGACAATAATGTTCCTCAATATCAGACATTACTTTAAACTTTAAAGATCATGTAATACCATTTTTTTTGTCAAACAATAATGTAATTAGCATTACTGTTAGAACATGAAAAACAAAACAAATTATATAAATATATTGTGCGCAACTTCGCAAGAGAAACAAATGATCAAACCTAACAACTTTTTTGTTGTTGTGTAACTTAACTTAGTACTAGTAAGCACCATGTACCAAATAACTTTGTTTTTACGATTCTCAAATGTTAATAGTTATTAACGTAAAGTATTTTAGTCTTGGTAAAATAACCTTTTCACAAGACATTTACGACAAAATACTTATTATCCAAACCTACCACTCGCTAATACATAAACCGTCGATTGACAAAATCAAACACGTACATGTGATAATAATTTGAATACTATGATCATCTTATTTCTCTTTTTTTTTTCTTACCACCAACACTTTGATTAACAATACCTTTTAATCATATAATATAGTGGAAATTATAGTAGACTACGAACTTTACAGTAGCATCTAGGTCCTCCAGAATCTCCCGACCATGACCCTAAATTAGTAAATTACATACATTAGGGTCTTAATAGGCTTCTATTAATAGACAACGAGAAAGAGAGGATATACTCCAGCAGGATTATGCATTTTTCGATTTGGGCTCATTTATTGGACTAGGGGCCTCATATCTTTCGGCCCACTATCTACATTATGTCATAGAGATTGAGGGTCCGGGAAGAATTGAAGAAACTGCGAGACTACAATGGCCGTCTCTACCACCATAACCGCCGTGGCATACGGAGCTTCGTCGTATCTAGTTCATTCACGAAGCGCATTTGCAATATCTTCCCGGAGAATCTCTTCACTCTCGCCGCCGAAAGGGTTGGACCTCAGTTATCTGCGGCGGAGAGTCAATGCACCATCGCCGAGGCGCGTCGTGGTTCGCGCCGCCAGAATTGAATCAGGCGGAGTAAATTTAGGAGCTAGGGCTCCAAGTTTCGAGGTAAAACTGTGATATGAACGTCTCCTGAAACGAAATGACGAAAAATTTCTAATCTTTGAAATTTGTGTGTGTTTTTGAGTGAACTATATAGCTTCCGGAGCCGCTCACTGGGAATTTATGGAAATTAGATGATTTTGAGCTGTATCCATGTCTACTGGTGAGTAATCTTTTGTCTTTTTTTGTTTAAGAAATTTGTTCACACCTTTTCTTAGCTTAATAAATTTGTATCTAAACCTCTGATTCTGTGTTTTCATGGTTGATAATACTGTTGTAGGTTATGTTCATCTGCAACCATTGCCCGTTTGTGATTCACTTGAAGAAAGACATTGTAAAGCTCTCCAATTTCTATATGAAGGTACCAAAACATTTTCTTCTCTCTTCTTCTTTCCACTCATTATCTGATGGAATCATAGCTATAGAAGAATAATTCATACTGGGGGGTAACTTATATTGTATGGTTGTGCAGAAAGGTCTTGCTGTTGTTGCAATATCTTCAAACTCTGTTGTAACACATCCACAGGTTTGTGTGTTGTGACTCATTCTAGTGTCAGAGTGCTTATCGTTGAGATGTCTCTATAAGGTTGTTCCAATTTTCAACAGGATGGGCCTGAGTTCATGGCAGAAGATGCAAAAGCTTTCAAATATCCATTTCCTTACTTATACGATGAGGTATCCTTTTGTCTCTTCGATGCTTTTTCTGTTCTTTTTTTAAGCCTTGTTAGTCAATTTCACTGAAAAAAGAAATCTGAGAGTTCTATGGCAATGTTCTCTCTTACCTCAGTCACAAGAAGTTGCAAAGGAATTTGGAGCTGTCTGTACCCCTGAGTTTTTCTTATATAAGAAGGTAACTTTTGGTGTCTACTGTATTGGGTATTCTTTGAATTTTCTTCTGCTAAAGCACTTCAATATTCACTCTCGACTTGTTTGCTAAATTGATCTCATCTTGCTCTTGCCTTTTAAATGGAATAGGATGGTCGTAGGCCATTCGAGCTGTTCTATCACGGCCAGTTTGATGATTCCCGGCCTAGTAATAACATACCAGTAACTGGGAGGTTCGTTATCAATGCTGCTGCTTTTAATTAACATATTTCAGAGAAATTGTTATATAGTAAGACCTAACATGTTATATCTGCGTAGGGATCTAAGCCTGGCTATTGATCTTGCCCTTAGCTGTCAACCAATACCGCCAAATCAAAAGCCAAGGTACACTAAAACTTGATACATTTTTTTTTCTTCCAGTTCTTTGTTTACAATGTCTATAGCCTTTGATGACCATCTGAGACAATGCATTTGGTGTATCTTAAAGTGTTGGTTGCAGCATTAAGTGGCATCCTGAAACAGAATCGTGAACTACGACATTGGTTGTAGTTATAAACGGCAACTGTAAACAGCTGCACAACACTCTATCTTCAGGCAAGTCCGCTTATTTTATATCAATTATGGTCCATAAACTCAGGTCCATAGTATGTCAGAAGCAACAAAAGATTTAGAGAGTTGAGAACTGTGATTATTGTATTTTGTGTTTAGATAGAGGTTCCTTTCTTTGCTACTAGAACCAGAAGAAGAACTGTCAAGTTTTTGCTTTTTAACATATATAGCATCTATGAATAGTGTGGATTTGTGAATTTTACAGGTTTGTTCCTAAATAGAAATTGGAAGGAGAGGAGAAGGCAAGTCAAAAAAGCTTTAAAAGCCTGAAGTACGTAGAAAATATAGTTGTATTCCATTATTGTAAGATTAATATACAGTAATCTACTCCACGAAACCTAATTTGTGGGATCGTTCATGTGTGATATAATTACATGAACAATATAAGAATGAGTTTTAGTGTAAATAGTACGTTTTCTGTATTTAATAAATTTTTTAAAGGTATATATGATTAAAAAGAAACAAACGATCTTCATGGTCAAATCCCGAATTTGGTAAGATCTGTTGAACTCCAGTTATCACCATTGATCATGAAGCTCCCCTGAGAAATCAAATGATCCGGCTCCTCTGAGAATGAGCATTCAAGAATCTCTTGAATCTCTTTGTCATCGAGTAAACCCTGGAACTCGAAGATCTCCTCTTCATCTTCTTGGAGAAAGTTACCAAAACCTCGTTGATCTTCATGAACCTTCTGTGTTATATTAGTGAATTCCCCGTAGAATCCAAGATCCGCATCTGTTTCTTGGCATACATCCCAATTCAAGGAATCTAAAGCATGAGTGGTTGTTGTTGCCGGTGAATCTTGATCAGATCCGGTGGTATTATCTGTACTTGAAGGGCTCCGATCAGTCACATACTGTGCGAAAACCGCAGCCATATCAATATCGGAACCAGCAGCACTGCACTGGAAGCCATCATCATCTTGGTTGATAAGACCACCATCAGGCCGAGTCTCGTTCCGACCAAACCTTTTGTGACTGTTCTGTCTGCTCCGGCTTCTCTTGCGACAGCCTCCACCGACGGGAATGTTGCGGAGAGAGCCGCCTTTGGTCCAGTAACGACGGCAACCTTTGCAGAAGTATCTAGGCTGAGACAAGCTGTAGTTGTTGTAATAACAAAACTTGGTGTTGGAAGATGCACACCGAGGGCAAGGAGGAGCAGTCTCCTCGTGACCGTAAGAAAGCTTCCACTTCGCCGGAATTTCCATCTCCGACGACGCAAACTGGTTCTGATAGCTGTTGTGTCCATTATACGGCAACATTTTCAATGTACTTTTAAATGGATTTTGGTGTGAATGTCGAAA